TGGTAGACTTTAACAGCAGGAGGAAAGATGGACAGATGAGGGCGAGCACTGTCTAAAGGAACTTTTGAAGTGCCGTACAGAGAAGCTGAACAGCTCCACTGATAATTACTGTATTTGAACCCTTATGCCCGAGGCCATTGTTTGACATTGCCCCATTAAAAAAAAAAAACACATGTATTTAGCTACAAAACTATAAGGCTAAAATGAACAACCTTGGGCTGTACTGATGGGAGACACTTTAAAGAAAAGCATCAGTATAACATTTATCTTGCAGAAAACCATTAATTAATAAACAATGTAAAGCAAAAACGTGTAAAATGAGTTGTTACTTTGTGTCGTACTGACACTTCAACCACATTATCTTTATAAAGACAAGAAACTAAACTGCTTTGCTTACACTAATTTACACTTTAATTATATCAGGAAAAATAATCATACATAAAAATAACTAGAGCTCTGAGTATAATTAACTGTGTTATGGTTGTTGTGGGAACTGTACACTGAGAATTTTTGGACTTTAGTGTAAAAGAAAAAGTAAAAATGTTTTCTATCTTATTTTAAGAATGGAGAGATTGCTATGCTGGGTGAGATCACCCATCTCCAGGCCATCATCGATGACCTCACTGTGCTGACAACTGATCCGCACAAACTGCCCCCTGCCAGTGAACAGGTGAAAAGCATACGCAAACATGACATCCAGCATACACAAAGACAGAAACAAATAGAAGACAAACCTCTGACTCCTACACGTTCTCTCAGGTGATTAAGGATCTAAAGGGGTCCGATTACAGCTGGTCCTATCAGACCCCTCCGTCATCCCCAAGCAGCTCTGGCTCACGCAAGAGCAGCATGTGCAGGTACTCACACACAAACACACTCTTATCCATGCACACATAGGCAGTGTTCTGAGTATCAGAAAGAGGAGCCATCCTTGATGTTTATATGTCAGTGTGATTGTCAGTCGTTTTGTCTACATGTCAGTCTGTCATTACATTCTGTGTCTATGGGTGATAGAGCCACTCATTTAACCCCAGAAATGTTCCTTCATAATCAGGCTGTGGTGATTCTGCATAATTATAGGATCAAACTGGACCACATATAGCTCTAACGTGGCCATTAAAACATGATGACTGCCAAAAACTCACTGAAAAATATTAAAAAGTAAACTTAGCCAACAAATTAGAAAATGCTGAGTGAAAGGGCATCAGAAAAAAGGATGTTTCTGTTTAAATCCAAATGTCTGTTGAAATGAAAGGTCATTTATACATCTCCAAAAGTTGATTCTGTTCATCTGGACGTAGCGTTTTGTGGGAGAAACGTTTCGTCACTCATCCAAGTGACTTCTTCAGTCTCAGCTGACTGCAGGTTTCCCCAATCTTATAAACAGTACATTTGCATAATGACT